TTCAGATGTGATATGTAACAATGTATTGTTTATTCCATGTTGCATGACTTTGTGTTTTTGTGTTTATGATGTAAAGCACTTTGAAATGCCTTGTTGCTGAAATGTGCTATACAAATAAAATTTGATTGATTGACTGATTGATTATGCTATTAAATGGCATTATGTGCTTGGAAAATACATAATTTATAAAATTATTTACCTTTATCACAGAACAACCACTGCAGATACTAAATTTTCTCTTGGGAGCAGCACAAAGAGAGAGAAAATAAGGTTTCAGAGGAGTTAAAACCTGGCAGCAGAAATATGTTGCCACACCCCGACTTTGATCCAGTAGAGTAGAAAAATTAAGAAATTAGCTAATGCATGCAAGTTTATGCTTGTTTTGCATTAATTAAGAGTACAGAATAAATGTTTTTTAAGTCATTAATTGCAGTGAGTACCTTTCTACATGCATAGGGAATATAGGCATTTGTAAGTCACAACATACTTTTTTATATTAGTATTTTTGCTTGATTTCCCATGTATTCTGAGAAACTGGATTTGTACAGAAATTGTCAGGATCTGGGTTTATGAAAGTGCCTCTCCCCATTGGCTCCCTGCTGGGAGTGGCCTGCAGCAGAGCTGCGCACCTGCAGGGATCATCAGCAGGAGAGGTTTTAAGGAGCTGCCAGACCTCACCTCTCTGCCTGATGATTACTCCCTCATGGTATAAGCCTGACTCCCAAATCGGTAATCCAACCTGTAGCTCCGAACCTCACCTGCCTGCCAACTCCAGCCCTCAGTTCATTCCTGTCAGAGAAACTTGCCTTGAACTATTGGTTGCTCGGATCCAACCTGCTCCTTTCCCCTTCCCGTTGAGAAGCCTTCCAAGAGACGTAAGCTAATTTCTCTTGCTGTCCAATCAGGCACTCTGTCCACCCCTTGCACATTTTGTCATTGACATCGTCATTGACCCGACTTCGCTTCCAGACAAACCCCAGACTCGATACAAAGGATCACCTGCAATACACCTGTAGCTGTGATTGTATTTTGTAAATAAATTCTTAACTTACTGTTGCTTCCCGGATCCGATTCTCCAAGTGGGTCAGAAGTCGACCCTCGAACATGACAGAAACATTTAGAATTATTCCCATTGAGAGTCTAAATGTAAAATTAGTTGGCAAAACTGAAAGATGTAAGGCCCTATGGTGACCCTGATGGATTATCTGCCCAGTGAATAATACCTAATAACTTATAATGTATGTACTTTTGTAAATGAATTTATTTTATGACTGCAACTAACCATTATTTTAGTAATCAGTTAATTTATTGATTATTCTAACAATTCTTTGATTAATTGGATAAACATTCTGCAGATTTTTTTTTTCTTTAAGCACTTATGGTTAATCTATATGGAACTATAAATACATTACATGATTCAAATAAAGAAATAACATAGTTGTCATGGATTGGTAAGGTGAGGTGGTGAGGCAGATGCTTGGAGGCCCAGGTAAGGTGAATGGTGAATATTTAATAATGAAAACCAGTCCAAAAATACAGTCAACAGAGTAGTCCGCGGCTAGGCAGCACGGCTGAGAGGAAGCCAGGGCTCACACTGGTAGCATCTAGTCATACAGGCGGCAACAAACAAATGACGGCAGACAGAGAACAAAAGTGCGACGACTTACGACGAGGAACAAAGAACACAGGAGGGACTAAATACACTGAGGGTAATCAGGGGAACGAGACACACCTGGGAACAATCAAGGGGAAGACAGGACAACCAGGAGACTCAGGACACAGAAAACTCAAATAAACACAACAGAAAAACACAGAACATGACAGTAGTTACTATTTAATTAAGATGATCTAATGGTCACTAAAGAAATGTTTTTGATGCAATTTAGTAAAAAAAAAAGTTTATTTTCTTATTGCTAAGGATATTTTTCAGCTGCATATATTAGAAAATATTTTTCAGCTGCATAGCTGAAAAATATTTTCAAATATGAAAAATATTTCTAGCATGTGAATAGAAAAGTTCAGTCATTTCTGCTTGACTCAACAGATCTGGTGATCATTTTTTAAATAAACCATTTAATAATTGTATTGCAAAATACGCTTCATAGGAGATTTTCTTTTTTAACAAAATTTGAATCAAGTGAAGCTAAAACTGCCACTTGAGCAGTTCTGGGTAGAACACATTTACAGAGAAAGAAGGGTTTGTTTTTATCTTGAAGGCAAAATGTATATTTGTATACAATTTTGGCTTAATAACTTCCCTGTCTGTGTTGCTATTTCAGTAAATAGCTTTTTTGGGGGTCTGTATTGATAGGAGGTCTGTATTGATAGGAGACATCTCCTAACTCTGACCACTCCGCCATTAAGAACATCAAAACATCCTATGTCAAGAGGTTGTCAAAAACAGACATCTAGTCACCTAATATTGCTTTTATTTATTTGACTTCACTTTAAAAAATAGTTATGGGGAGACTGCTGCATAAAACCTGTAATTTTATCGTTTAACTTTTAATGAGGAAAGATACAGCAGTGACGGAAAGCCGCTATCAATCAAAAGCAGTCAACATATCAGCCCTCAGTGTAATCGTAGATTTGCAGGAAGCACTTTATATAATGTAAGAACATTAACGTTCATGTAATTTAGAAGTAACTTAGAAAGATATCAAATATTGCATTATGAAGAAGGTATGAGCCTAGGTAACCATGCCTTTGGTAACCATAGAGAAAATGCCCCACTATCATGTAGCCTAACACATATGAAAAAACCTGGTTAGTGTAGACACAGCATGTTCTGGAGTAAGGGGGAAACACTGTTGATGACATAATAATTTAGATCATGGGGCGTGAATTCAGGCAGAGTCGGTAATTTGATCAACATGTCAGGAACGAACAAGTAGAATTCCTGAATATATTGGCACCAACAGCTTGGTAAGACAATTACAGTTGCTCTTCTTAATACTCCCATCACTCATTTCTGACATCCATCATGGTGTCTCGAGTGATTAAGTGATGAAGTTTCTTTGATTAGATCAATCTTCTTTCTGTTTAACTTAAGTTCAGTCTTTCCTTAGTGATTCTAGTTTATTATGTTTATTTCTTGTGTCTGGCAAGTTAGTCTTTGTTAGTCTAGTTTCATAGGTCTAGTTTCTTTTTAGTATTAGTTTCATTTTCCTAGTACCCCTGCTATGTACTCTCCCTCACCCCCTTTGCCATTTTCTCTCTTTCTCTCCCCTCACACCTGCAACCTGTCAGACAATGATCCCGGTCTAGTGTCCCAGCATTCACAATCCCAGTATTGAATCACCTCTCTCTCATTCCTCCTTTGGCTCTTCCTGTTACATCTTGTTAAACCATGTTTTCATCATTTCTTTCATTAAAAACTTCAATATCAACTTCATGCCTCAGTCTCTCTGCATATGGATACACTTTAACCTCGATGCAACATGAATGAAAAAAAACCATTGGGAAAAACATTTAAATATTAGACTTTTTAATAACTTGGTGAATGATGAATTGATGTAAAATTCAGAGTTAGAACTGTACCTCACCTAGTCAGTTGGTTCACACTGTCAAGCCATATCTGCCTAACAACTCTTTCTGTGTGTGTGTTGCCGTGTGTTTGTAAGTGTGATAAGTGTTAAAAAAAAGCTCAGTAGGAGGGCTCTTTGGCAATTGTATGAGTTATTTTGCATAGGGCTGCATGCCCAGCCCTGGAGCCATGCAGAGAATGGCTGTAACTGTCATGGAAAAACACCTGGAACATATAAAGATAAAATCCCCCTCTGACTACTCACAACCATATCAGCCCACAGGGGTTCCTTCTTTCACGTTTCAAATGCCACACATAATTTGTCAAAAGACAGCTAAATACTGCTCATACAGAACCATATGGCAAATTGTTCTTTTCTGCTTAGAGTCAGGAGACTTTGATATCTTTGTTGGCCTTCATAGTGCAGAGCTTGTGAAAATACTTAATGCCATCCATCATGAGGATAAAAGTGGTGTCACAAATGTGTGATTAAAAAGCAGCATTAAGAAAAATACATCTCCTAAACAATATGCCAGTGGATATGTTGGAGTATGGATGTGAATTTAAATAAGAATGATATGTTATTTTAAGTGTTCTACTGAATCCATGCAGAAAATCTCCCAGGATTAAGTTTCAGTTGTGTAACAGCACCACAGAGTTGATTTTTGTAGCGGCAATAAATGTCATACTTCAAATCTAAGTGAAAGCTGAAATCTTGAGATACTGTTTCTTTTGCAGTAGGAGTAAAACCTTCTAGGAAACCTTTATAATAAATGATATGTATAACTCAACAAATGTCACAAAAACGAAGGTGGAGGAATGCAGAATGTGTGACGCCTGGAGTGTACAGCACTAGTTCTTAAGCCCCAGAGTTCTGCAGGTTTCAACGAGTTCCTGTTGTCCTCTTCTTTGGTTGATTACAGACTGTGTGCAACTGGTTTTCTAGTGACTTTAAAACTGCCCAATTGTAATTATGAAAATAAACTGTCCTGAATGTAAGCATGCCAATTTATATAAAAAAATGTTTTTCAATAAAAAGTTTCTGTGCTAGGATGACAGTGTGTTCTGAAAAACTGCAATGGAAACATTTTAGTGGCAACATCCAGGTGACCAACGTCTGGATATTGCCACTGGTGGAAAAGACAAAGCAGTCGACAGGAAGTGGTAGGACGATGATGGCACTGCGAGCTTTTTAATTACTTGTCCTATGAACAAACTTATTCATGTGTGATTTTAATTGCATTTCCTATTTCATGGAAACAGCACAAATGAGAACTTGTGTTTTCGATGTTAAAAGATGTTAATAGGTTTTGCACACATTTACTATGTGTGAAATACTTTTTGTCATCAATCTGATTCATGTGTTCTGAACCAGGAAAATGTTTGAAATATTCAGAACACCGGCTGTTGAGGACTGACTTGGAACACCATTCCAATTTACGACTGTCAGTTTCATGTGTGATGGTGCCCTCACAGCTGTGAAATGCGTCGTCTTGGTGCTGTGATGCTCCAGGCTCCTCTTTCTCCTCAGCAGCTCCTTAACTGGATCTCGGACACGAACTCCCTGGTACGGCCGGGACCTTCCCTGGGCAGATGGCTGTGCTGGAAAGACCAGAATCACACCACAAACATCAAGGTGCTTTTCCCTCTAAATGATTCTAAGCTTGTTTGAGTGACTTGAACAAATTGGACAAGTCGAAGCAATTACCAGTAAGGCCAAGAAATATTTAAAGACAGATTTTCAGATTTTATAAAGCTCTGAAGAATGAAATGAGAGTGACTCTTCACAGACTAGACTGTCGGTCCTATTGGTGAATCAATAATGGGCACACTGCTCCACTTCATGTCAGATGCCAGCAATGTATGGGCTGACCGATTTTGACCGACACTTTTTAAAAACAATCGGTCATGTTCTATTTTTACCAGTTAAATTATAATCATATCTACATAGGCTATTCAGCCACCTTTTTATTATTTATTTTTATTCACCTAGTTCAGGTAATGGCAACACAAAATGTTGAAAAAGCCATATTAGACCAAAGGAAAAAGAAAAAAAGAAATCTGTCTGGAGTCACAAAAAATTAAAGGCTTCTGTTTGCGAACATCACTGGACAACTTCTCCACATCAAGCATGTAAAATGCAACTTGAATCTTGATGCAGCAACTAATGTAACATACCTTCCCTGGAAATGTCTTTCCACATTACCGTACTTTTTGGACTATAAGCTGCTACTTTTTCCCCATGGTTTGAACCATGCAACTTATATATATATATATATATATATATATATATATATATATATATATATATATATATATATATATATATATATATACTTTTAGGGATATACATATTTATGTATATATAAATATGTATATATATATATATATATATATATATATATACACATAAATATGTATATATATATATATATATATATATATATATATATATATATATATATATATATATAAATTTCCTTCTCACCCACCGCAGGTGGTTCTTATCCTCTGAGCTCGGGTCCTCTACCAGAGGCCTGGGAGCTTGAGGGTCCTGCAGTATCTAGGCTGTGCCAAGGACTGCACATTTCTGGACTGAGATGTCTGATGTTGTTCCTGGGATCTGTTGTAGCCACTGCTCCAGTTTGGGGGTTACTGCCCGAGGGCCCCGATGACCACAGGCACCACTGTGGTCTTCACCTTCCAGGCCCTCTCCAGTTCTTCCCTGAGGCCCTGGTATTTCTCCAGTTTCTCGTGCTCCTTTTTCCTGATGTTGCAATCGCTCGGTATTGCTACATCTACCACAACGGCTTTCCTCTGTTGTTTATCCACTACGACAATGTCTGGTTGGTTCACCATTACCATTCTGTCTGTCTGGATCTGGAAGTCCCACAGGATCTTAGCTCTGGTGTTCTCCACCACCTTTGGGGGTGTTTCCCACTTTGATCTCGGGGTTTCCAGTCCATATTCTGCACAGATGTTTCTGTACACTATGCCTGCCACTTGGTTATGTCGTTCCATGTATGCTTTCCCTGCCAGTATCTTGCACCCTGCTGTGATGTGCTGGACTGTCTCAACCTACACCTTGGGTCTTGTCTGGTGTGGTAGATCTGGGAACAGGCCTCTGGTGTTCAGGGCCTGTTCCTGTGCAGCCAGGATGAGGGCCTCTGTAGGATTGGTAGGATTTGCTGATATCAGCCACTTGGGTTATTTGCTGGTGGTACATCCCATGTAGGGGCTTGTCCTCCCATGATGGTATCTCTGGCACCTCAACCTCTGTTCCCTGTTGTCTGAGACATTCACTGAGCACATTGTCTGTTGAGGCTTTGTCCCTGAATCTTAGATGTTTCATCCTGGACAGTGGTTCTCACACTCACTAGTCCTCTCCCTCCTTCCTTGCGGCTCGTGTACAGTCTCAGGGTGCTGGATTTGGGGTGGAACCCTCCATGCATGGTTAGTAGTTTTTGAGTCTCAATATCTGTGTTTTTTATCTCCTTCTTTGGCCAGCTAATTATTCCAGCAGGGTATCTGATTACTGGCAGGGCATAGCTGTTTATCGCACGGATTTTGTTCTAGCCATTGAGCTGGCTTCTCAGGACTTGCCTTATTCGTTGGAGGTATTTAGCTGTGGCTCCTTTCCTTGTGGCCTCATCGAGGTTGCCATTTGCTTGTGGTATACCTAGGTACTTGTAACTGTCCTCTATGTCTGCTATTGTTCCTTGTGGGAGTGAGACCCCTTCTGTGTGGATGACCTTCCCCCTCTTTGTGATCAGCCGACCACACTTCTCCAGTCCGAATGACATCCCAATGTCCGTGCTGTAGATCCTGGTGGTGTGGATCAGTGAGTCGATGTCTCGCTCACTCTTGGCGTACAGCTTGATGTCATCCATGTAGAGACGGTGACTGATGTTGGTCCCATTTTTGAGTCGGTATCCGTAGCCAGTCTTGTTGATAATTTGGCTGAGGGGGTTCAGGCCTATGCAGAACAGTAGCGGGGACAGATCATCTCCTTGGTATATGCCACATTTGATGGACACTTGTGCAAGTGGTTTGCAGTTGGCTTCAAGGGTGGTTTTCCACAACTTCATAGAGTTTGCAATGAAGGCTCTCAGAGTCCTGTTGATGTTATACATCTCTAAGCATTCAATGATCCAAGTATGAGGCATTGAGTCATAGGCTTTCTTATAATCGATCCAAGCCACCGCCCTGGTTGGTGTGTCGGGTTTTGCAGTCTCGGGCAACTGTGCGGTCTACGAGCAGTTGGTGTTTGGCTCCTCTACTATTTACACAGATACCCTTCTGTGCCGTGCTCATGTGTTTATCCATGTGTTTGCTTATCATGGCCGCTATGATGCCTGACATGAGCTTCCAGGTTGTGGAGAGGCAGGTTATTGGTCGGTAGTTGGGTGGGACTGGACTCTTTGATGGATCCTTCCGCCCTACAGTTAAGCATTCAGGGTGAGTCCCACTTTGTAGCAGCTCACTTCCCTCCTTGTTACCTTGATTTTAGCCTCTAATCGTCTTTTCCATGGTGGGTATTGGGTCTCATGGTTGCTCTTATGGCCAAGCATCTCAAGAATCACTGATACTGAGTTGTAGATCAGCTCATTGGTTTCTGTTATGGTGTTGATAGGGACTGTTCTCAATGCTGGAACACTGAGCTACTAGTTGTTTAGCACTTAGTGTTGACTGGGGATGTCGAAGTAACATCCCCAGTCTTTGCATGTAACCTCTCTGACTAGGGTTACCTGAGTAGTAGCATTCCACCTCTCGCCCATTTCCGTCTTGTTCCAGTAGCCCATTTGTCAGCCCCTGGTTCCCCAGCACCTTACGCAGACCTTGTTTGGCCAGGTGATGTCTGAGCCGGCATGTTACGCATCTTAATGAGGTATGAGGTAGGCACCTTGCCACATTGGCAATGAATGCAAATGATTCAGTACAAGAACTGTAGAATCTCCCCTCAGCTATTTTTCTCTTTTCCCCTTTGGTCTCCATGGCTCACCACACACCCATCGGTGTGTTTACAACAGCCACCTGCCTGGCACCCCGCCCAGCTAAAGAAACGTGTCACAGGCTATGACGCAAATCTTCGTTGAAATTTAATATTTATTCTACAAATTTCTACAGCATAGGGAAACATTAAGAATGACTGTGTCATGTTTGTCCTCCTACAGAAACCATATTAAAACAAAAAATATATTTCCCACCCCCACCTTTTTCCATTTTCAAACATTTTTGAAAAAGTTCCAGAGAGCCACTAGGGCAGCGCTAAAGGGCCACATGCGGCTTCAGAGCTGCATGTTGCCGACCCCTGACCTAGTTGAACTGTGAATCCAGATCCCATCACACATAGAGCAGATAAATGCATCTAACTTTTTCTCCGTAGTGACAAAAATCTCTGACTGAGGCCCCAATAACTTATAACAAATTAAATTAAACAATTTCACTTAAATTACAAGCATTTCACCTGCTGAACGCATAGCCTCACAAATTCCTCCTGTCCGCAACTGCAGAGAAATCTGCCCTAGTTCATCAGTCAACTGGATCTGTTTGATTCAAACACGGTCAAGTGAATTTTTTTTCTCCCTGTGCGCTTTCATGAGAATTCTTTTGTGTGGTTTTGCTTCTCCAAAACGGACAGATATTACATCTGCTGCACTCCTCAAAAGTGCCGCTGTCCTTCTGGGCTTGGAAGGGTAACATCTTCCAGCTCCATTTGTTAAAACCGCAGGGTGAGTCAAGTTTAATTCTCCACAGTACACATTAATTGTGCAGCGCATTGCATACGTTATATTCTAATTAACTTCTGCGCCTTCATTTATTTATGTCCTCAAGACAAACTGCCGGCTCCTCTGTTTAATGGATTAGCTCAACTTTCTCTCTTTAGTTTTCTCTGTTGTATGTAATGGAGACTTGAATTAAACATGCCATTTCAACCAAAGGTTTGCAATGCGCTTATGAACCAAACACTCCAAACCGTCCGGTCCAAAACTCTTCAACACACTGTCAGCTCCCGGTCAGAAAGACCCATTTAGTCTTTCGGACCGGGAACAATTCTTTTATTAATTGATTTTAGTGGCCTCTGCCTGAAGTCTATGTCTGTCCATGTGCGGCAGTCAGGGGTGTTAATGATAACCTGCCAAATGACTGACAGCCTTTAAATTTGTCCATTATTCAAAAAAATAACTGGCCAAATACGGAAAATATTCCGTTAATGTAACCTCTGGCAGTTATTGTTAAACATGAGCTGGTTGAACCTTTCGCATTGAAGATGTGCTCATAATCATCTTTCAAACCTTCTGTCAGTTTTTTGAGTTTCCTTCAAACTGTGGTTCAGTCAAAAAGACTGATTTCTATGCAGGACAATAATCCATCACATGCATCCAAGAACTTCTCTGAATGATGTTAAAAGACTTCAAAGATGAAAAACATTTGGCATGGCCTCCACCTGACCTGAACCCAATAGAGAGCTTCTTAGAGTGGAAATTTCCAGCAAACAGTCCATCTCTGACAGTATAAGAACTGCCCCAAGTACTTTTAAATATGCTAGTTTTAAAAAGCCCCAGTTTGACTCTCAATTGTATCTATTTTTAGACGTATTT